GCGGAAGAACCAGGTGGAGAACTGGGTTCGTTAGGCGGATATCCAGAAGGTGCAGTCGTGGTATTATTTTGGGGAGGTGACTGTGAAGGATTGGATAGTTAATGAGGTGTAGTAGAATGATAGAATAGGTGCAGTAGCTGAATGATAGCGGCTGATTAGTAGAATAGTAGGTTGTATTTTGATAGCATTAATGGATACGAATAAATTTTTATATCTGTTCATAACCTACATACAAAAAAGGATTCTTACCTGCATTTCATTATTTTATTTGTAGCGTCATTCGTATTCATTCTGTAGCTGTTATTTAGTGTATTTATGTTAATAATTGAAACCCTGTAGTCACAAAAACATTCTTGCATTACTTCCCGTTTTAAGTTTTTAAATTATACACGGCAAGTATTTAATATTTAATGTAACACCCGTGTTTCGGATTGACGAAATAGTTATCTCGTCACTCGCTGTAACAGGGCGTTCGAGTTCGTCTTATCTGACTTCCAATTCGGCACGGATACCACACAGTCAGCTCGCATTCTGATTTCGACACTTTTCAGGCAGCCAATCGGATGATTGTGTTTGCACGCAATTTGACTTCAGTATTGCCTGCAATTGCTCCGAACCCAACCTGCACGAGCATGACGAGAAGCCAGCACGCTAATTGCCAGCAAGCAGGGTCCTTCGTGCGATGGAGGCGCCGTCGCGGCGCCGTCGATCTCGAGCAACGAGAGGAATCCGCCGTCCCCGCGCTCCTGCTGCTTGCCCTTGCGCGCAACCATGCGCAACGTGTGGTTTACGCCGTCGGGTGTCATCCACACCACGCCCACCTCCTTAATCCACGTGTGCAGCTCCGTGCTCGCCTCCTTATCCTTAGCTGACGCGGTTGCGGAAACCGCGGGCGGCGCGCCCTGGTAGCCGTTGAGATGCATGTTGACGTGGAATCGACGGTCGGAGAAGAGGCAGAATGAGCGATCGAGGCGGCCGGTGAAGTCGTAGTGCGTGCCGTGCGCGCCCGTGAGATGCGGTTCGTTTTCGACGAGCGCCGTGCCGTTGCACAGCCCGCCCACGAAGCTCAGCGGGTACGTCGCCGCGTTCGCCGCCTGCGTGGCCGCGTCGCCCGCCATGGGCGTCTTGAAGGAGTCCGACGTGCCCGAGCCGCCGTTTTTCTCCAGCAGGTAGCATTGCACGCGGTCAATGAACCCCGCCACCTGGGCATTCTCGCCCGCCAGGCGCGAGCTGCGAACAAGGAAAGAGCGAGAGCGAAGGGGACGGAGACGCGGGGAAAGTATAAGCAGGAAGAAGATAAGTCACAAAAGCCAACACATATTACTAGTAAGCGGGGTTGGGGGAAGGAAGCAAGTGGCACTTAGCGGAAAGTCGAAATCAGCACTTTCTACTTCTGAAATCTCAGCCCACGTGATATTTCCGCTCTCAGCGCCACGATTTCCTCTCGTGGTCTTCGCTCCGTGTCTGGTGGCCCCACTCACTTTTTGAACCAGTGCCACTCGTAGCAGTACGTGGAGCGCGCACACGCGCGGCAGCACTCCTGCAGCGTGTCGCCGTACACGCCCTTCACCACGTCGAAAATGGTCCCCACCTCCGTGTACCGTTCGAAATTCACGGGGCCCGACCCGCGCTGGTGCGGCACGAACTGCCCGCCCTGGTCGTTGAAGAGCCCCTGGTAGTTGCCGATGTACTTGTAGCTGGTGTACGTGGACGCCGTGATTGTCGCGGTAGCGAGGTCGTCTATGTAGGGGCAGACGTAGCGAGTGTGGCAACCGCCGGCGGGCATGTTTGCTGCGAGTGTAACGTGCAGAAGGCTGAGGAGCGCGAGGGCAAAGGGGAGGATGGGATTATCCATGGTTGGCTGCCGTTTCAAAGTACTAGGTCGATCAGCAGGTGAGAGGATTTTCTGCTTGAAGCTGGTTACTAGTACTAGTACTAGCTTCGATGGCTGGATGTGTTTCAAACTGTTCTCAATTTGGTGAATAAATACGAGGTTTCATTGCAACTGGAACTGACGAGTTGGTTTTTGGTGCTGCACATGCTGGTGGAGGCCAGAAGCGAGCCGCGCGAGCATTTGACACTGGCCGTATTGTACCGCATTGTAAACACAGCGAGCCGCGCATTGCAGACGAGGCAGGTTGGTTGGAGATAGGGTGAATGTGCGTTCACAGGTGCCCTCAAGGACCCGTGTGTCACGCCTAGTTGACTTCACCTTCGATTAAAACGGTTGACAGCGATGTTGTGCGTTTTCAAACGGTTTTCTAACGTCACCGCTTTCAACCTCTTTCAGCTGTAAATTGTCATGCCCTCATCCCCCCCCTCCACCCACCCAACCAAACCACATTCGCTCATGCCCATTCGAACCAGCTCGCCAGTGATGTGGTTGTGTTACGGATGCAATTGAACAAGCTAGTGAAGATTGCACTATTGAGTCAAACGAGTACAAATGTGAGCGACATGCGAGTGAACATTTATAGTGAAAAACAGCAAACGGTAACGCGGTGCGTGCGTTCTAGCTAGTGCGATGCTGGCAGCGTGGTTCGGGCTAGCCCCGAAGCGTAGGCCTACTCGGCCAAGTCCCGCAGTGCGAGGTTTGGCAAAAGTGACGCGCGAATGTGGCGAGCACCGTTAGCATTAACAGACGAAGAAACAGTCGGTCTTTCTTAACAACTAACAAGGCTCAGGAGCATAGGAGAGAATGATAGATTAGGCCAAAGGGGGAGGGGTACAAGGAGAGTGTCGAGTGAAATTCTGTACCCCCTAGCATGAAACTCACTACAGGCTAACTAACAATATAAACATAACTTTGACACACCCCCATAGCCTAAGTGAGGGGCATCAAGACGACCAAGAAAGGCAAGTGGTCACAAGACCAGTCAAAAGAAGTAACACACCAAAGCTCAGGGTGGATCACGAAGTTACCACACAGTCTGAGCACAAACAAGGGGCCACAAGGCCAGTTTAAGAGATTACAGATAGATATATAAGTACAGAAGGAAACAAGATGCAAGACAACGGAAAACGAGGGCCTCCTTCAATAAGGCTTAAAGCCAGCAGGCAAAATAGTGACCCCCCCCTTCTAGTTGGGTCCACTTGAAAATGAAGTATTTTTGTTGTGTTTTGGAAAGTTGGAAGTGCTGTGCGAGTGCTTTTTTTTTTCCGACCTTCAGAAGAGTTTCGTATTGGACCAGGAACGAAAGTTCATTCTCAATTCTGATTGGCAGCCAGGTTCAGGGACATGATGTGCGAATTTGGCGCAAAGTTGAGCGACGAGCACTCCTGCATTCACTAGAGCCACTAGTTCATCAAATTCACAACTAGCAAACATCTCACGCTAAATCCCAAGCAGACACACATGTAAGTGATGCGAGTGAAAGTGTTTGAACGTTGTTAGAGCTAGTAGAGCTCTGATCAATGTGCTGCCTTGGACTTGAGGCCTGGGAGAGGTGCAATAACGGGGTACAGAAGAGAAAAACAGCACGGGCGACGGGAAATGGGAGTGCGACGGGAAAGGGGAGGGCGACGGGAAAAGGCGACGGGAAACGGGAGGACGACGGGAAACGGGAGGGCGACGGGAAACGGGAGGGCGACGGGAAACGGCGACGGGAAACGGGAGGACGACGGGAAACGGGAGGGCGACGGGAAACGGGAGGGCGACGGGAGAGAGGATAGGCGACGAGAGAGAGGATAGGCGACGGGAGAGAGGGTGACGAGAAGGGATGGAAAGACGGGGAAAAAAATCAAACAAACAAACAAAACACAATAGCAGAGTACGGAATGGGTCACGATGACGAAAAGGGCGCGGAGAGAGAGAGAGGGCGACGAAAAGGTCGCGGAGAGAGAGAGGGCGACGGGAAGGGAGGGGCGAGAGAGAGGGCGACGGGAAGGGCGCGGAGAGAGAGAGGGCGACGGGAAGAGAGGGGCGAGAGAGAGGGCGACGGGAAGGGAGGGGCGAGAGAGAGGGCGACGCGGAGAGAGAGAAGGCGACGGGAAGGGAGGGGCGAGCGGGAGGGCGACGGGAAGGGCGCGGAGAGAGAGAGGGCGACGGGAAGGGAGAGGCGACAGAGAGGGCGACGAAAAGGGCGCGGAGAGAGAGAAGGCGACGGGAAGGGAGGGGCGAGAGAGAGGGCGACGGGAAGGGAGGGGCGAGAGAGAGGGCGACGCGGAGAGAGAGAAGGCGACGGGAAGGGAGGGGCGAGCGGGAGGGCGACGGGAAGGGCGCGGAGAGAGAGAGGGCGACGGGAAGGGAGAGGCGAGAGAGAGGGCGACGAAAAGGGCGCGGAGAGACAGAGGGCGACGGGAAGGGAGGGGCGAGAGAGAGGGCGACGGGAAGGGAGCGGAGGGAGAGCGCAATGGGAAGGGAGGGGCGAGAGAGAGGGCGACGCGGAGAGAGAGAAGGCGACGGGAAGGGAGGGGCGAGCGAGAGGGCGACGGGAAGGGCGCGGAGAGAGAGAGGGCGACGGGAAGGGAGGGGCGAGAGAGAGGGCGACGGGAAGGGAGCGGAGAGAGAGAGCGCGATGGGTAGGGAGGGGCGTGAGAGAGGCCGACGGGAGGAGAGGAGGGGAGAGAGGGCGACGTTACGCGCGACGGGACGGGCGACGAGATGGCGACGTGACGCGCGACGGAATGGGAGACGGGAGGGCGATTTGGCGAACTCGAGGACAGCGTGGTGGGCGATGAGAGGGGTGAGAGGAATGGCGACGGGAATGGGGTTCTCTGCGATCGGAGGAAAATATCACTACGCAGCAAGGGCGACGAAGTATCACACACAACCTAATGATAATTTCATATCTATGCCGCATCAGCCTAATCCCTCGTCCCTTGCTATTATTCTATGCTAGGCAAGCTACGTGAGTTAGGCAAGCTACGTGCGTTAGGCAAGCTACGTGAGTGAGTTGTGAACCCAGTTCCAGCTTGAAATCGATGTTGGAGCTGGCGACCAAAACGATCGCTTTGCGCTGGTCGTGAGGCTGCCGCACGTAGGAGGCGACAGCTAACATGAGCGCCAAAATTGATTTGGCGGGACCTGAAGAAGTTCATTTTGGTGAGAGCCAATCACATCATTTCGATCTGTGCACTTGAAATGTTTGGAACAGTGCTGAATCGGCCCGATCATCGCACACCCTTTCAAGCTGGGTTGGGGTTCACTATTTTGCATTCTGGTTTTAACTGCAGACAGAACCTGGGTGGTCACCAGGCGGAAGAGCCTTGGTGAAGATGTCCGCAGTTTTGGCCGTAGTGTTGGTCGCCTGGCCGCGTCGCTGCAACTTTCGCAGGAGAAAGTACCTCACGTCGATGTGCTTCACCCTGCTCTCCAGTCTAGGCTCTCGACAGAGGAGGATCATGGCCTTGTTGTCAGCGAACAAGGTCGGTGCAGAGCGAGGCCGCTCACCAAGGTCGGTGCAGAGTGTGGCCGCTCAGCAAGGTCGGTGAGCAAGAAGGTCAACCAGCGAAGCTCCTGCGCAGCCATGGCACCGGCGTAGATCTCTGCCTCTAAGCTAGACTGTGCCACAGACGACGACTGAGTAGACCTCCACGAAACAGCTCCAGCGCCCAAGCTGAAGCGATACCCCTGCGTAGACTGCTAGGTCTGCACGTCGTCAGCGTAGGAAGAGTCGCAGTGACCGGTCAGCACAACTGGCTCTGTCCCTCCAAGCACAAGGCCCACGCCTGATGTAGTCACCAGGCACTTCGCCACCCTCACAGCAGCCGTCCAGTGAACAGGACGGTGCCTCCCAGTCGCAACAAAGCGAGAAAGTGAGGAAAGGCGAGGTCCGGACGAGTACAAGTTATCAGGTACATGAGGCAGCTCACAAGCTCTGCGTAGGGACCATTGGACTCAAAGGGCTCGTCGCGAAAAGGGCCGGTGAGTCTGTGGTCAACACCAAGAGGAGTGGACTGTGTGGTGGAGTGCTGAAGCCCAAACCGCTGAAGAACCTGCTGCACCATGTGTGACTGAGTCAGTGTGATGGTGCAAGCGGCTTTGTCCCTGGTGATCTGCAAGCCAAGCTAGCGGCGCAGTTCACCGAGGTCATTGCACGTGTGTCTCTTCTGCAGTTCGGACTTCACCTCCGCCAGAGCAACCGTATCTGCTGTAGCGAAGACCAGGTCGTCAACGTAGACAAGAACGAAGAATTGTGTGGGCCCAGTACGAACGAACAGCGATGCGTTGGAAGTAGTAGGTGGAAAACCAAGGTCAGCAAGAGTGGAGCGAAGAGTGTCGTGCCACTCATGGGGCGCCTGGCAGATACCGTAGACTGGTCGTCTCAGGCTCCACTGGGTCCTAGGCGGGAAAGTTCCAGTGAAGCCAGGAGGACGACGCAGCCATATCTCCTCGTGCAGGCGGCCCTGGAGAAAAGCAGTGGAGAAGTCGAGGGAGTGCAGCTCGTGGTCTCGCTGTGCTGCAACGTGAAGTAACACCCGAAGAGTGGTCATCTTCGGGGTCGGAGCGAAGGTCTGGAAGAAGTCAACTCCCTCGCACTGACTGAAGCCCCTAACGACGTAGCGTGCCTTGAAGACAGACGGTGATCCGGGCGGCCGCTTCACCTTGAAGATCCACATGCCATCGACTACGTTCGCCCCAGGCGAGGGAACTGCGTCGACGTAAGTGCCTGTGAATCTCCAAGACGCCATCTCTGAGTCCATGGCTGCTATCCACTGAGAGGTCCACTGCCCTGACACTGCCTCACGGTACGTGCGATAAGTCGGTATGTCAAGGGCATCGGGGTCTCCCTCAGGGGCTAACAGCATGGCACAGAGATGGGGAGAAGCGGCTGCCAAGAACTCCAGCTCAAACTGCCCATCCTCTAGGACGTGACAACCAAGGGCAAGCTCACCCCCGGCGGACAGAAGACGGGCAGGCACCACTCAGGTGGCGTAGTCAAGGCGGCGGGTGGCGGTAAAGTCAGTGACAACAGCAGTAAGGGCCGAGATAGACGACGGAGAGGCACGAGGGTCCATGACTAGAGAGGCGAGAACACGGGAGAATACCAAATACGATAGTAGTCAGAGATAGGGGTAGAAGAGACAGGAAGGGACGACTCAGGAGGACACGGGAGACCAGACGCAGTGTGAAGGTCATCAACGGGAGACGAGGAACAAGAACGCGCGGGACAGGGGCGGACGCGAGAGTGTGGGACAACAAGAGGAGCGGGCTGGGAACGAGGAGGAGAGGCATCAGCGGGGGACGAGTCCGGAGGAGGAAGAGCGTGAGTAGGAGGAGGCGGGGAGTGGTCCAAAGAGGAGGAAGGGAGACCAAGGGTCCGAAGACCACTCACACGCGGGAAAAGCTGCTGCAAGAGCGCCTGCTTGGGCTGCTGTGGCTGTTGCTGCTGCTTCTGTTGCAACAGCTCCTGCCGCTGCAACTCCAACTGCTGCTGCTCAAGCTCTAGAGTCTCCTGCACCAACCTCTCCTGCTCCTTGCGCGCACGCCGAGAAGAAGCAGCCTGGAAACGCTTGTCGTGACGGTGGGGAGGCTGAGGAGGCGACGAAGTAGAAGTGTCCCAAGGTCCAACTCCCTCAAAACTAGTACCTCCAGCGCCAGTACCACCAACCCCAGCACCCCCAAAACTAGCACCTCCTGTGCCAGTAGCCGCAGCTCCAACACCCCCAGATTTGGCACCCAGTTCCCTCAGCTCTAGTACCCTCAGAACGAGCACCTCCAGTGTGAGTACCCTCAGCTCCAGCACCCTCTGGACCAGCACCTCCAACCCCAGCGCCTCCAGCACCAACACCTCCAGAATCTACCGCAACCTGTCGCGGTAGTGCCGGCAGCTGCTGCGGTGACTGAGAGGACGACTGTGGGGAAGGAGGTGGGACCAGACGTGCTACCGAGGGGAGAGGGGTAGCGTGGGACACACCCGACGGGGAAGGACCGGGGGGGGGGGGGGGGGGTGTACCGGAGGAGCGGGAGCAGGAGGAGGAGAGGGGGCGAGGAAAAGGGGAGGGGAGGGAACCGGGAGACCTCGACAAGGGTACCAAGTGTAGTAGAACACGGACTCGTCAAAGGTGACGTTACGAGAGTCAAGGAACCAGTGGTAGGGCGGGTGGTAAAAGGTGTAGTCAGAGGAGCCCACTGGGAAACCAAGGAAGATACAGGGGAGGGCGCGAGCCGAGAGCTTGTCCGCAGAGGTGTTGCAGACAAGCGCAAGGCAACCCCAGACACGAAACTCCGACGCAACACCAGGGGACCCGGTCCAAAGAATAGTCGGTGAAGCCTCTGGCCGCGAGACACGGGGCCAGAGGTTCAGCTGGTGGGCGGCGTAGCGAACCGCGTAGGGCCGCAGAAAATGGGGCGCAGGGGCGTGGATCATGGAGGTACGGGCGATCTCCATGACCAAGCCTATGCGGCGCTCAGCAACCCCATTATGCTGTGGGGACTCTGGAAGCGTCCAGGACTGGGTGATGCCCTGCTCGCTACAGGATCCGGCAAGAATGCCAGAGCGAAACTCACCCCTACTGTCGGAGTGAAGACAATTGACACGATGACCACGAGTGGTCTCAGTGGCCAGTAACCACCGGATCAGCGTAGAAGTCATGTCGGAATTTTTCGCCAGGGGGAACACGGTGGTGTAGCGGGAGTAGTCCTCAACGACCACCAGAAAAAAGCTCTCCCTCTCGGGCCCAGGGCGAGGGGTGGGGCCCCAGACGTCCAAGTGGAGAGTCTGGAAGGGTGCGGTGGCCGGACGAAGGCAGGAGGAGTGAGGAGTGGCACGCAGCCGACTCTCGACGCAAGGAGTGCACGGCGGCGCCGGCGAGCGAGGGAGCAACGCAACAACCAGACCGGACGCAGCTACCTGACCAGATGGAGCTACCTGGGGAGAGTGTGCGTGCAGTGTGAAGAGACTGGAGCGGCCTGGCCTTCGACTTAACGTGGTCAGGGGGGCATAGGTGTCACCGTCCACGCAGGTCCCATCACGCTCAGAAGGAGGAAACCAGACGCCGACGTGGTGGTCCTAAAGATATCCAACACCCACCAAGTTCCTGGAGAACGAGGGGATGTGGAGACAAGTGAGGACGCCAGAGGGGGCAGCTGGGCATGGGAGGGTGGTGGAGCTGCGTGCAACTGCTGTTCCTGAGGTAGGATCAGCCAGTGCAATCGAAACCGAAGCGGGAAGCAGAGTGAGAGTCGTGAGGTCACGAAAGAAGCACTGAGACGCTCCATAGTCCAGCGTGAAAGAGAGCGACGCCTCAGCAGGAGGTGCACCTGGGCTAGTAGCTACACAAGCACATAGACTAGAAACACAAGTACCTACACTATCAACAGGTAAAGAGTCTAAACTATAAACACGCGTGCAAACGGTTCCAGCTGCACTATAGTCCACACCGGTATACATCACAGACTGCAGCAAACAACTCTACTGCAGACATCTAAAACAACGACGGACCGAGAGAACGAGCCAGCTGGGCCCAGTCCGGGGAGGGGCCGTCACCGTACTCCGCGCGAAGGCGGTACGTGAGCTGCCTGAAACACTGTCCTAGAGGGTGAAAGCGACCACAGGGCTGACCGCGGCGCGTCCCAGTCTGAACAATGTACGTGCAAAGAGTAGGGGGTTTACCACGGGACTCCCAACTGGGCGCGCCACTGCCACGCCCAAAGCCCCCTGGTCCACCAGATCCCCACTGCCGGGGCTGCTGCTGTACCTGCCACTGCGGCTGTCCCTGCTGCTGCGGCTGTCCCAGCTGCTGCTGCTGTCCCTGCTGCTGCGGCTGTCCCTGCTGTGTCTGGTGCTCCTAGGGCCGCCACTGCTGCTGCGCTGCTGCCGTAGCGTACCAACTAGCTACGCCAGCTCTCCCTCCCGTTGGGCCCCCAGGCCCAGGGTCACCTCCAGGGCCCCCTCCACTAGACCGGGACGGAGCAGTACCGTCCTCACCTCCGCCACTCCCTGCGTCATCCCCGCCGCCACCATCAGCGCCACCACCCTTCCCTCATTTCTTACCTCCCTTGCCCCTGGACCGCCCACCCATAGTGGACACTGTTGCAGTTTCATCAGTAGCAGGA